TATATGTATATGTATATGTATATGTAATTATGTACATAGTTATATCTAAATATCGTAGACCGTACTACAAATCGTTTTAAAAATATCGTTACCTGTACTGATATACCAACCATGCGAAAAAACGGTATAAAAAAAACGGGAAAGAAACCGAAAAACGTATTAACATACTAGAATATGGTAAACCGTATAAACATACCATGGTTACTACAATCCGTAATTCGTATGAAACTACCGTAAATCGTACCAAAACACCCGTAAACATATACAGCAAAGCGTGTCAGCAAAACAAACCAGTCTAAACAGGAGGGCATATCAATACACTCAAATACATTAAACAGTACGACCATACCGTGAACCACGCGGGCCGTCTTTTAGCCAGAACACTTCCGCCAAAGAATATGTTATACTCAATCAGCAACCCCTGACTCACATTGCGGAACCGCGTTAATCGAGTCTCGAGATCATCATCGTCGTGTGCATTGATACAGGAGCATTCCTGTGTGTATGTGAGAGTGAAAGTGAGAGTGTATGTGTGTATGTGAGAGTGAAAGAGAGTGTGTATGTGTGTATGCGAGAGTAAAAGAGAGTGTGCATTTGTGTATGCGAGAGTGAAAGAGAGTGTGTATGTGTATGTGTGCATATGTTTGTGTGTATAAGTGAGAGAACATGTGAGAGACTGTGTGTGTGTGTGTGCCTATGTGTGCCTATGTGCGCCTATGTTTGTGTGCAAGAGTGTATGTATGTGTGCATCTGTGCATCTGTGTGGGGGAGAGAGAGTGTGTGTATGTATGTGTGTACGTGTGTATGTGTGTGATAGAGAGATAGAGATAGAGTGAGAGAAAGTGTGCGTGCGTGTGTGCGTGTGTATGGTGTATGTATGTGTGTGTATGTATGTATATGTATGTGTGTATGTATGTGTGTAGCGAAAATATGTATGTGTGTGTGTATGTGTGTACACGTATGTGTACGTCTATGCGTGTATGAGTGTGTGTGTGTGTGGTATGTGTGTATGTGTGTATGTATGTATGTATGTGTGGTGTATGCATGTATGCGTGTGCATGTATGTGTGTATGCGTATATGTGCGTGTATGTGTGTGTGTGTAAGTAAGTATGCGTGTGTGTGCAAGTAAGTATGCGTGTGTGTGGTTGTGTATGCATGTGTGTGCGTGCATATATGGATGCCTGTACAGGTGAGTATACTACATGTGCCTGTACATAAACGTGTAGTTGTGTGCACGGTTGCGTGCTAGTCCCATATATGCGCACATATCCATATACACACTCATCTACGCCTGCATGCTTGCAAGTACACATACCTTTGTGTGTACATCTGCGGCTGTGTAAACGTTATCGTGTACACGTGTAGGCTCATACGTGCATATGCCTATCCGTACACCTTAACACCTGCAAGTGGACACCTGTATGTTGGCACACGCATACACACATACACATATACATATATGCATATGCACACACATACCTACACATACACATACAGATACACACATATAAACGTGCATACACACACACATGTACACACACATACACATACACATATACACATACACAAACATACACACACATATATATATATATATTATATTTATATATATATATATTTATTGTATATATATATAAATATATATATATACGCGTACACACGCACACATACAACGTCCTCCCACCCACCTGGCAGAATTGCAGCACACTGAACTCAGGGCTGACAGTCCAAAACTCGGCGAATTCCCACTGGCCCTTGTGTGCCAGTTCGCTCAGCAATCCTTTGAAGGCCGTGTGCATCATGCTGCGATTGCGACCGAAGCGCTTGCAGCACTGCATCTGACTGTCCTCATCCAACTGCCTGTCAAAGGCTACGACAGGGCAAGGACGGGTGAGGATGTGCAAGGGTGTGTGTTGTTTGTTATTATTGTAATAGGTTGCTTATGCTAGTGCAGGTGTTTACTGTACGTGTTGTGTTGTAGAATATACCTATATTGCATATGTAGTCAAAGTAGCCTCCCGCAGTGTGAGCATAGCATCAAACTGAGGCTATCTGCCACAGCTCTTCCGATGACTCACTCTCTGTAAAACCACTAAGACTGTGATCTAGAACATGGTAACCATAGAACCCTAAAACCCTAAAACATGGCCAGGCCGGGGCAACCCTTTTCGTCCAGGCCGTTAATGCTAAACTTATACACACTCTACCACTCGCTACACGAAAAATCAAACAAAGCCTCAATCATTCACACCTCACCGTACACTGACGCATAAGGCACTTACACACAATAACTCTAAACCCCCTAAATCACTATAACCCTAAAATCTTAAGACCTACACCATCACTCCAACATACATCCCCACACACTAACCCCCTCAGCACTCACCCGCAGTCACGGGATCGTCCACCGTCAACTCCGTTTTTAACGTAAACATAGCGTTGTGGTTCAGAAAGTCGGCGATCTCCGGATGCCCCAGTTGCAGCGCTGTCTGGTACGCGTTAAACCCCCACTTGTCCTTGAACTCGGCATTCGCGCCTTTGGAGATGAGATACTGCACAATCTCTAGCCTGCCCGTGGGTAGGTGAGTGTGTGAGTGTTTGTGTGTGTGGTGGGGGGGGGTAGTGGGGGTGGGGGTTGTGGGTGCGTGTATGTGGGCGTGGGTGTGTGTGCGCGTGTGTGTGTGTGTGTGTGTGTGTGTGTGTGTGTGTTGTGTATGTGTGTGGT